CAGGGGCGTGGGAGGGCCGAGCTGCGCTGCTCCAGCCCGAGCAGGGACCCCGGAGCAAGCCGGCCTCGGTGCCAGGGGCGGCCGGGGGCCTGGGCCCGCGCGGGAGACGAGCGGAGGCTCCCGGGGGGCTCTGGTGGAAGAGGGACAAAATGGTATTGGGGGCATCCGCGGCCCAGCCCGTAATAAAGCACGGGGAAAGCCTCCTGTCAGGACAAACACGGGGGGGAAACACGGGAAACCCGTGATTCAAAGGACACCGAGCACAGCAGCCACGGGAGGCCAAACCCCAAGCCCGGACACACGTGCGCCGGGGTGCGGGGCTTTTTGCGGGAGGCGCAGGTAGCTACAGACTGCGGCTGGGCTCAGCTTTCCTCGCACAGTCGTGAACGCGCAGATCAGCGCTGCGGACCTTTCCCACCAGCAACTCCCCGGGCTGGGGATGTAGGAAAAAGAAACTATAGAGGTCCAGACCGCCACATCCCGGGGACAACGCGGTTCATCAGCACCCTGCCGACAGAAACAAAAAGCACTCGCGTAAATACTTATTCACTCATCCACACTATTTAAGTGCCTGCATATGACATGATACACGGAGAGGATATTCGCCCAGCGCGTCCATATTCGCACATGAGATCTCCGCGGAGCCTAGATGCGTGCAGACGTTACGCGGCGCGCACAAATGCAGCCCGTTTCTGTTTGTTGTTATCTTGAAAATATCAGCCGGACAGACGCAGACAACTTTCTAACGCTGAAGGTGGAGGGAGGGGGGAGGATTAACTCGGCAGATAGTAGGGGGAAAGCGCGTGAGTAGTTCTCGCTATCTTTCTGTACCGACTTCAGGGGGTTTTAACGCTAGAGAGAAAATGGATATTTTTATTTAAAAGCAGAGGGGGAAGGAAGTACAAGAATAAAAGCAGGGAAGACCAGACTCCCGTTGCAAGCCCCCCCCAGTTCAGCAGCAACAGTCACTGACATCAGTAATTCTGCGTCTTGAAGATGAATGACACCGCGGCGTAATAGATTTAAAGCGCGCCAGATTTTTTTTTTTTTTTTTTTATTTTTTTATCATTAATTGTAAATGTGCAAAATACCTGCTGGTACTTCACTTTAGAAGAATGTAATTGGCAAAAATAGGAGGCTGATGAATAGATAATAGATCCTTAACTACCAATAAACAGTAAGCAGCAGCCAACAGCGTTCGGCCGTGATCATCATTATGCCGACGCGCCAGCCAATGGGAGCGCGAGAACTCGGCCCTAAAATCGTCCCCGAACCCAGAGGTAATCGCGAAAATCCGGACAGGGCCGGAGCTGCGCAGCTCTGCCCGGCTCCGCGGGCTGCCCGCGGCTTCCCGGGGTGAAGGGCAGGGCAGGGAGGCTGCAGCAATCCCGGCTCCCCGCTGCCCCCGAGCAGCGAGGACCTGCGAGCCGAGCCGGCGGCCCTGCCCGGGGCTCCCGCCGCAGCAGCCGGGGAAGGGGGTGCCCGGGATCTGGCCCGGAGCCGCTGAATCCACCCGCGCAACTTGAGCCGGCGGGGATCCCTCCCCAACCCCTCCCGCAAAGCCCTGCCCCGCTGCCTACCTGGGGGCGCAGCCGGGCGAGGGGAGGCCGGGGGCGGCGGG